GTTAGTCAAATTGTCCCCTCACTGATAAAACCAAGAGCAAGGAGCCAAACAAGATTGAATGGAGCGACAGCCAAGAACTAGCTTTCCAGACACTGAAGGAAAAGTTGATGAGTTCACCGATTCTTCATCTTCCAGACATATAGAAACCATTCATCCTCAGAACTGATGCATCAAATTCGGGTATAGGGGCCATTCTCCTTCAAGAGCACGATGACAATATATTTCCAGTGGCCTTTGCAAGTAAGAAGCTATTGCCAAGAGAGATTAACTACTCCGTCATGGAAAGAGAGTGTTTAGCAGTGGTCTGGGCTATCAAGAAGTTTCAGCGGTACCTCTATGGAAGAGAGTTCACCCTGCAGACTGACCACGAACCACTAGCGTACATGCAAAAGGCTAAAGTTGTAAATAGTAGAATTATGAGGTGGGCATTGTCTCTGCAGCCGTACCGTATCAAGATTGAAGCCATCAAGGGAACAGAGAACATCGGCGCAGACTACCTCAGAATGAGTTGTACGCAGTATATTGGTAGTGTGTGTAAATGAACGAAATGTGGGACATTTCGCTTAAGGGGGGGGGTGAATTGTCATAGTAACTTGATTTTCCCTGTTGTATTTTTTATGTTTATTCTTTCTGTAAATGTAGATATAAACTGTTCCTTTAATCTTGTATACATGTATGTCTCCCCACAGTATAGCTATTTCATTCCCAGGTGAAGAAACACAATAGTCTTTAGATTATGTTCTCCCATCCAGTGTTTTCAGGCTTTTGCAGTAGGACCATAGTTAGTCAAATTAGATCTTTGTTGCAATAGGGACTTCTGATTTGGTATGTGTTCCCTGTCCGGCTGAAAAAGGTGGACACTGCCGCTAGCCGTGACAGTCACGAAATCGTGAGTTATCGTCACGCCGACGTGTATCACAACTTTAAAGACAATTGGCTCAACAGCTTGACAACTCGAAAAAAGGCGTACTCGGGCATAGAAAAAGAAAACGTGCCTAAACTAAGAACTGGGGCTCAAGATGCTAACTCGGGCGCCAACAACAGTAAAGATCAAGCTATCGCGGATGCATATGGTAACAGATATTGTATTCCCCTAGACATTGACATGCTGACTTCGGATCACCCTTTATACCCAGCGGTTTAAAACAACCTCTGACGTACGAGATAAAGTTTAACGATCACGAAAAAGTATTCAGCAGTTCAGATACGGCGGCGATGTATTCTATCGCAGATTTGACTCTCAAATTCGAAGTGGTGACCAACAGAGACCTAGCTATCACCATCAGGAATAAACACAAGGGGTTAATGAAATACCTGTTTGATAAAATCCACTCGCTAGAAGTTAGATCCGTCAACAAATCGGACACGCTTTGGAACGTCAGCGTCAATCAACCCATCAGGAGCCTCAAGGGTATTTTGTTTTTGTTTAAAGATCCCTTCCGCAGCGATTTTACAATCCAAAAATAACCAAAACATCGGTGACTGTTGAAGATAAACCCAATCAACTCTACAGTCAAGGCATGTTCCAGTATCAACACTGGAACGAAATTATCAAGTTCTTTAGAGACAGCGATACCGAAAGCGGGTGTGGAGTATCCAAAGACTTAAATTTGACGGGTTGTGACCTCGGAGACTATCTAAAAATCAAGTACGGTCTGTGGCTTGATTTTAGAAGTAACGACGACAATTCCGCTCTGGTAGGAAACTTGGAGACGGAGGAGGCATCAACGTTCAATTTATCAGAGAAGCTGAAAGCCAAGGTGACCTCACGATGCACGTCTTTTTGGTCATGGATGCTTAATTGAACTTGGAAGACGGGAATTTTAAATCTCTGTTAAGTTAAAATGACACAGCCGCATTGTGCTTTAATCGTCGGCAAAACAAATTCGGGTAAAACCAAATGGATTTTGGATCTGTTAGAGTCAGACTATAAAAATCATTTGCCCTACCATATTTAAATATTGTAAAAAGACGTACGCGCTAAGCAAGATGGCGTTTAGCGGAAGACACGTCAATCACAGCTGTTGGTTACTGACTCCAAAGTACCATAGCGTTTTAAAAGATTATAGAGAAAATACGGCTTGGTTGGCATTATTTTACTGCAAAGATAAAACTTTGTTTGATCAAGTGTTAGACGAAAATGACGTCGTACCGATTGAAGAACGAGATTATATAAAACGACGTTTGAGAGATGTGAGTTATAGTAAATTGGTCGTACACACCGAACCTCCAGTTAGTTACGAGCTACTTGAGTAGCTAGGTGAGTCACAAATAATAGCTAGGTGAGTAACAATTAATAGCTAGCTGAGTAGCAACCTATTCAATAAACGTCAACAAAATACATTTTGCTGTAAGTAAATGATAGCAATATTCGAGTATTTACAATTTCTGGCTATTATCATCATATCGCTTAATCTTTCTCTATACACATACAAATACCTTCGCTTTTGTAAGATGAGATGGAGGACCTAAAACTTGCTTTAACGAACGAGCAAGATCAAAACACTGAACGTAAAGATCGTTTGTGCGGTGTCGTAGCGGCCGGAAACTCTGAAAAGTACTTGGGAAAGAAATATACTGTTAAACATATCGAAGCTCTTGACAGTAAAGAACTCGACAGATTATATCATCTGTACGAAACTAAATTTGGAAATGAAATTGTTCAAAGAGTTGGTAAATATACTTTAAGTCTATTTACGCGAGGGTTTCATTTTCTTTTGTAAATAAAGTATTAAAGGTTATACTGGACATAGTAGTAGAATTATACAGTAAATGATATAAAGTGGCGGATTGTCCAATTAGTTTCATTTGATTCTGTGTTCGAGTATCAATCCTTCAATGTTTATGGAAGTCGATCTAGAAGAAAACCAACAATGTCGGGCACCAAATATGATTTAGCCTCTTCTGGACTAAAATATTCAGGTCTTCCCGAAGAGGACGTAGACGAATTTATTTCTAAATTTAGGACTTTGGCCTCATTAAGAGATTTTGCAGATGCCAAAAAAGTCTTGGCTTTACAGTCTCGAATATTTGGCCACGCCCGAATATTCTAGAAAGTGTGCCGAATGAAGACAAAAATTCAGTAGAGAGTATCCAAACGATTTTGAAGAAACATTTTCAAGGTGACTCTTGGGTGTGGCAAGTTGAAACAAAACTGCTTGAACGAAAACAACTACCTTCCGAAACATTGGATGATTATGCTTCAGATATTATGCACATGTGTCAACAAGTTAAGAAATCAAGTGCAGAGTGTCTTTCTATATTTGTACGTGGATTATTACCATCCATTCGGGCATTTTATTTTTCCAAACAACCGAAATCATTCCATGATGCTCTGGATTATGCTAGACTGGCTATCTCTGTGCAACAAACGGCTCACGAGCCGGATAGATTGAAAGCAAATGATACTAATCCTAGTGTTTCCGTAAATGCCATTCATTCCACTCTGCAATCCCTTACAGTAACCATGAATTCAATTGCGAATAGGTTGGATAGGTTGGAACAACAGAAGGAACAAAGTCCAAAGAAACCAATTTCACCTGGTATAGCTAATCCTCAGCAATCCAATCGTTATCCATTTACTTGTCACAGATGTGGTCGCACAGGTCACAAATGGCGCTAATGCCGAGCTACTTTTGATGTCTTAGGTAATCCTTTAAACTAAGGAGCCCACCTGTTAATGTCAAAACTTCAAAAGTTCAAACACCGACAGGTGGGGAAGCCTCAGACAAACAAAAAGAAGGCCTTGTGAATTCACAAGTGAAGAGTAATTCTGATTGTGTTGAAATGAATTTGAGTTCTTCAAGTACAATTGATGTAAAGATCTATCATGTACAAGTTGAAGCCCTGATTGATACTGGTGCTTCCATTAATCTTATCGATAATGACTGGCTTTTAAAACATATGTTTGCCATGCACCATTTAATCGAAAAACCTCGTTTGATGAGTGCTAAAACGGCTAATAATTCTGACTTAGACATTACGGGGTTTATTACCTTACCAGTGGCTATGTGTGACGCCTGTTTTCAAATAGAATTCCATGTTGTGTTTAATCTTACCTCACATATGATCCTTGGTTCACATTTTCTAAGCGAACAGTGTGCTAACATAGATTGTAGGTCACGTAAACTACGACTTACTAAGAAAAACCAGTTGCGAGTTCTTAAGAAGCAAACAATCCCACCACGCTCTCAAACCGTAGTTTGTGCAAAAGTTTCAAATCAACTTCCTGTAAACACTGTTGGTTTATGCCTTGGAGGTAGATATATTACGTCACTAGGTGTAATGGTGGCACGCACCGCAAGTCATGTTACAAATGTCAAGGGTCAAGCAAATGTATTGGTTATGAATATTTCTAAAGATCCAATTACTTTGTATCCACGTAGCAAACTGGAAACGTTCAATTTAATCGATCCCTGTGAGTTCGTACCAATGACAACAATAGATCTTAAGGAACATGAGGCATACGTTGCAGAAGTTAAACTTCTTCTGACAGTAACAATCCAAGTTTGAGTGAAGCTTGTTGTGATAAAACAGTGATTTCTGGAAAACAGACAGAAGAAATTCTCTCCAAAGTCATGTTGAATACAGATCACATGTCTAATTCAGAAACAGCTGCGATAACTCAGCTAATATCAGATTATTCTGACATTTTCCAAGTTGATGGAGGACCTAGAGGCCGATATTCAGGAGTTAAACATACTATTAACACAGGTGATCACCCCTCGATTAAGTCTCGGCCCTATAGACAACCACCTCACATCCAACAGGAAATACAAAAACATGTCAAGAGTATGTTGAACGAAGGCATTATTAGAGAATCCACTAGCCCATGGAGTTTCCCAGTATGTATGGTACCAAAGAAAGAGCAGGGTTCATATCGTTTTTGTGTAGATTTTCGTAAGCTAAATAAGATCATTATAATGGATAATTTTCCATTACCGAACATATCTGATGCACTTGATAGCCTAGGCATCATGAAACCACAGTATTTTTCAACTCTAGAGTTGTTGCCCCCTGGACTTCTTTTCGCAGGTGGCCGTCTCCTGCTTCGTCGAGTGAAGTGCATCTTTCTCTTTGGGAAATGCTTGACGCTGTATGTACCTTATTATGCCCCTTTCGGCACTCTGGCATTCTTCTACGGAAAAACCTCCTTGTTTAAGGCTTGAGTCATCTGCTATTCCCTTGCAGCGGATGTGAAGATACTGAACGAAACGCAAGAGCCAAGAAACGCCTCTCTTCAATCGGTTCCATGATGAGTACTTGGCCAGGAATTCATCAACCTTCAGCTTCTCTTGCACTAAGGCTGTCTGCGTCACCACCCTCTTGAGTTCAGGATCCCTCTCAAGAGCATCATTGAGCGGCAATATGTCAGGGTTTGGTACAGTACCCTGCAGGACAACTGGAGGTATTGGCCAATGATCCTCATTCATCATCAGGAACTGCGGCCCCTTTAACCAGCGGCCATCTTTGATCATCCTTTCAGCGCTCAAGCCCCTGGACCCTTCATCTGCTGGGTTGGATTCAGAGTTGACATATCGCCACTGTGACTCATCGGTGGCATCTTGGATCCTTGCAACCCGATTTGCCACAAAGGTGCGGAAGCGCCTACTCTCGTTTCTTATGTATTGCAGAACTGAAGTTGAATCAGTCCAGAATACAATGTCGGTGATGGGCAATCTCAGCTCTTCCTGAACCATTTTGCTGAGCTGAACTGATAGGACAGCTGCCGTAAGCTCCAACCTCGGTATGGATATCGACCTCTTAGGACACAGCCTTGCCTTCCCAATGATGAAGGAACAGTCTATCCTTCCTGATCCATCCACTGTCCGTAGGTAAGCCACGGTCGCATATCCACGCTCGAAGGCGTCTGAAAAGAAGTGCAGCTGACTGATTGCAGTATCTTCTAGCTCCCTTGGCCTCAAACACCTGGGGATGGTGAGAGCCTCTAATCTTGGCAAGTCATCCAACCAGCGCTTCCATCTGAACAATTCTCGCTCCTCAACCCTTTCGTCGCAACCTAGCTTCTTGCTGCAGATATCCTGAAGCAAAATCTTGGCAGGTAGGATGAAAGGCGCTAGGACCCCAGTGGGTCATATAGTGAGCTGACAATTGATAGGATGCTTCTCCGCGTGGTGGGCCTTTCCTTCAGAACCGTCTTGAAACCAAAGGTGTCAGACTGTACGTTCCAATGTATACCAAGGGTACGCTCGATTGGTAAGTCTCCCAAATCCAGATCCAACACAGATGGGGCTCTCTAACTTGCTGGAATAGCAGACAGAACCTCCTGGTTATTGCTGATCCATTTCCTCAGTCTAAATCCACCTTTGCTGAGCAGATCAATGAGCTGTCTAGCCAGGTTGATACCCGCTTCTGCACAACTCACCGACACCAAAAGGTCATCGACGTAGAAATTGTCACGTACTGCTGAGGTGGCAGCCTCCCCAAATTCAGCACCATAGTCATCTGCTGTTTTCCTCAGAGCGAATCCTGCACAACTGGGCGAGGATGTTGCCCCAAACAAATGAACCAGCATCTGGAAGTCGGTCGGATCCTTGGACAAGTCATAACTCGGCCACCACAGAAATCGTAGGGCATCGCAGTCTCTCTCGGGAACTCGTACCTGGTGGAACATAGCCTCCACGTCTGCTACTAATGCAACAGTCTCATGGCGGAAACGAGTCAGCACACCGACCAGGTTGTTTGTTAAGTCTGGGCCCTGTAGGAGATTATCATTGAGTGATGTACCTCGGAATCTTGCTGCGCAGTCAAATACCACTCTCATCTTTCCTGGCTTTTGGGGATGAAATACAGGATGATGTGGCAAATACCATTTCCTTCCCACCTCGACATTTGGTACTTCTTCCGGCACTGGTCTTGCGTATCCCCTTTGGACATAACCATCAATGGTTTCCTTGTACTGCTGACGCAAATCATCATCTTTCTGCAGGCATTTCTTAAGGGAACCCAACCTCGTCTCAGCAAGTGCCCGGTTGTCTGGCAAGTCAGGATTTCGTCTTCGCAATGGTAGACCGATTTTGTAGTGCCCATTTATCAGCCTTGCAGACTCCTCCATGGTGGATCTCGCTCTCCGATCCTCCACAGAGTCACCACGCTTATTGTCCATGATAGATCCGCCAAAATCTACCTCCCAAAATCTCTGCACTTGCTGTTGCAGTTGGTCGTCTTGCAGCTTGGCATGGTTGATATTGAAACTTCCTGCTCCCTGCTTGAAGGAGGGTGATGTAGGACCAACGAGCGTCCATCCCAGGAGTGATCGAACCCCATAGGGTTCCTTGCGTCCATCCCGCCTCTCTTCCATCACCCAAAAGGCTTCAGGGACATCTCCACCGATTAGGACTTGAACTGGCCTTCCGTCAGTTTGGGGGAACTCAATTCCATCCAGATGTCTCCATTTCTTCACATCCTTCTGATTTGGGAAGACGCTACTTGATGTAGGCAAGGTTTGGACAGTCCTCACTCTCGGTAGGTCCAGCTCTTCATCATTTTGGATGGACTTCACTGTTAGGTTTATCTCCATGCCGTGATACTTGCTTGTTCCTCCAACTGTATTCAGGGAGAAGTTGAACCTTTCACCTCTGATCCCAAGCTGCTCAGCCAGCTCCTCGTCGCACAGCGAAACGTCAATGCCTTCATCCAGTACAGCACAAGTCTCAAGCTCACAACAGGCGCACGGTGTGGATGAGGGAGAGTATGATGCTTCCACGTGCATCCATCAATCCCACAACGAATGCTGAGTCTGCAACGTCTGGCTACATGCCATGGAATGAAGCAGTTGCACAGTTTATTATCTCTCATTAACTGACGACGCTCGTCATATGACCCCTGTTTGAAGGTCTTGCATTCTGCCAATTTGTGTTGCTGGGAACAGCAGAGACATTTGACTTGCTTGTCCTTCTTCGCTTCATGAAGATAGTCACCACTTACACTAGTTGACAGCGCAGTCACCTTGGCCGGGTAAGTCTTCGGTTTGGTGCGTGGGGAATGACTCGCGCTGGTCGGACTGAAAGTCTTGGTGATATTCTGTCCGTACATATTGCTGGCAGTTTTCGCCTTCGTCTCAATAAACTCCGTCATCTGTGCGAATCTTGGTTCTCGTTTGCACTCGATGGTCCCCTGTGCCTTCTTGGCCCAGTCTGCTTGTAGATGAACGGGCAAGAGACGCTGAACCTTAAGTAGGTTCTCTGAGCTGTTCATGTCCGCATTGTATCCAAGCTGGGAAAAGGTTATTTGGCACTTCTCCATGTCCCTCGCTAAATCCCAAAGGGCGTTGCCATCGTTCTGTCGTATCTGTCCTCGGTTGGTAACCTTGCGCAGCAGAGCATGCATTATTAAGTGTGGCTGTCCGAACTGCTCGCGCAAGATTTTAAGTGCTGTTTTGTAGCCATCTGTGGGTTCCATCAGGATGCAGTTTTCGATGCTTTCCTTTGCCTTACCTCGACAGAACTGCACCAGGTAAGTCAGCCTTGTTCGGGCATCAGTCACTTTGGAACCGATGTTTGTCTCGAAACTGGTCACGAATGCCCAATATTCCGCTGGGTCTCCGCTAAAGGACTTAATGTCAGGCTTCGGTATGTTCATGGCGAGTGTCAAGGCTTGGCACAATTGTGTGATGCTTCCATGATCATTTGATGCTGGAGTGGACTGTGAGGTTACTTCAGGTGGTGTGACACTCTCCTCTGTTGTGTTTGAAGGAAATGTTATAATGCCACTTTCATCTATCATGTCGGCCTGTGCTCGATCATGGTTGTTGACAACCAGAGTACTGCTTGTGACTTCTACACTAGTGTCAATTGCTTGTGTAACATCTGGTCTGTCTTCTGTGGCATCTTCCTCTTGCATTTCCTCTCCCCAAATATGTGTCTCCAATTCTGCCTGCTCCTCTTCATCCTCCGCATTTTGAAGTTGGAATTTCATCTCCAACATCATTTTCTGTTGCGCCAGTTGCTGCTTTCGCTTGAGCTGCTCTTTCCTCAGCTTAGTAATCTCGAGCCTCGCCTTAGCCTCGCGATATTTTTCGATGGACGCAACACTACAGGAACTTCTCATTGATCTGTTGGATCTAACTGATCCATGTTCACTAACGTTGTCATCCTGTGTGGGTGGAGTCGGTGCTCTCGTATCTGTCATCCTCGAACCTTTGTCCGATTGGGTTGATTTCACCGATCCACCATTACTGACAGTGTCCTTCTCTACTGATGGTGTTGATGTAACTGCATACGCCATCTCTACTTAATTACAGCACACTGTACACTTATGTGCACTCACATTTAATCCCAGAATAATCGTGAACTTCTATGTAGCTAAGTACATGGGAATTAAATTGTCAAAACTCTATTTTTTGAACTCGCTCCAGTCCTTTTATTTGTCTCCACTTGTGTACACTTTACTTGATCCTTCATTCACTGGTTATAATTGCTCAACTGATGTGTGCGGCGATCTGAGTGGATATGGCCTGGCAGTAAGCGGTTCACTGCAATAAATGCCAAAACTCTAATGAATAACTTGCCCAAACACATGACCCTTGAACGATACACATAACAATGCAGTGATTTCATGTACAAGTTCTTCCAAAATTATGACCCAAATATCCCACAGATTTAAACGATTAAACACTTCAAAATGCCCCCCCCCCCCAAATTAACCAAATATCTTCTTCAAAGTTTACAGTTAACGATTAATAACAATTGAAACAGAAATCATACCGATTGTGTAGAGTCCGGGGAAACCTAAGCCTTAAATTTCTGGAATTACGTTCACAACGAATCAGTACATGTCGCGCTTGACCCTTGACCTACGCGCAAGCCTGCACATGTAAACAAAGGGCGCCCCAATACAAATCACGAATGAAATTTGATGCAACTGGTAAGTCAACGTTACACACAGTTTGGATTTATATTCCTGCATTCCAAAAGGACTATCCCGTAAACCTATGAAGTTTTGGGCTGGACCGTATCTCTTAGTAGAACAGACATCTACAGTAAATTTTCGAGTCAGAAATCTTAAAAATAATAAATTACTGGCTTCCCCTGTGCACGTGAACCGAATGAAATGTGCATATAACAGATATGTTCGCCCAAGTAATGATTCTGTCCCATTTGATCCAAAGCAGAATACATCAATACTAGGTTTGCAAGAAGATGACTGCCCACAAAATATTTTCCATCCCCTCACGGCAGTACATTAATCCAGTGAGTCGGAATCTTCTGGAACTCCCTTTGTTCCAGGATTACCGCAGATTTCAGAGAAACCCAAAGAATATGAAATTGAGCGCATAATCAGAGGCAGGTATAAAAATAAGCGACTTGTGTACCTGATCAAGTGGAAAGGTTTTCCTCATTCAAAGAATACTTGGGAACCCGAAACAAATTTGAATGCTGCGGCATTAGAGTTCCTTAAAACACATCCAGTGAAGATTTCATGTAAAATGTTTAAAAAAAATTAAAAAAAATCATAATAATAAAAAAAAAGAGAAACAAAAATAAATTAAATAATTGTGTAATCAATCAGCATTGTAATTGTTTTGATTGCATATGTTGTGGCCTTAATATTGTTGTCTTGATTTTGTGATCGACTTTCTCATTTTATGCCATTTTGATTATTAGAAGAATCAAATTAATTTATGAAACTTACTGCTGATGTCACTATAATTGTAGTTTACTCTTGAACAAAAAGAAGTGTTAAGTTGTTAAAAAGAATAATAGCTGTAGCAAATAAAAGTCGGCTTTATAAAATAAATAAATTATGAATTTAATTTAGTTTACGATGCTTAAGCGATAATTCAGCTTCCAGTGGCGCCCTGGATGGGATCGTTGAGGATGTCGGACCACGTGAAGAACCTGCGGCCTGGCCAGCCTGATGAGTGACTGTGTGTGATGTGATGAATGACGAGATGGGAGAACGTGTGGAGGTCCTACGCGGTTAATGGAGACAACTATGAAAACCATTTACGACACGCAACGATCGACCCGGTATGGAATAAATTAGCTGATATTATAACTTAAAAACAAATAATAATAATCATGTAATTTTGAATAGCTCGAATTTTTTTTTTTTTTTATATTTTGTAATTAAATTGTCAGGAGCCAATCCAGTTAGGGGTGGCGTATGTTGTGGCGCTCTGATGTAATACCAGACGTGGCGCTCTTATGTAATACCAGACGTGGTGCTCTTATAATACAAATTCTTGTAATACCCGCCTAATCTTGTGTGGCTATATAAGCACGCCCGTAGTCATTGTTCGTTGCAAATGGCTTCAGGGCGTTGGCTCCGTCGTGACTTTCTGTACCATTTTCTGTAGTCATATTAAATTATTTGGAAGCAGAGTTTAAGTTTCCTGTGTTTGGATTTGAGTTGTCCAATGTCTGTTCTTATAAATTCATATTTCGCTACATCACAAGCATCATAAGAAAGATAATAAGGTATTATACCCCGATATTTCTGGAGATGCACTCCGATTAAATAGTAACGAAGAAACAAAAGTGTACAGACTTTAAAAAGATTGAAGAGATTCGATCTATAATCTTAAAAGAGAGAGACCACCGAGAGCGTACTTATAAAAAAATAAAGAGAATGATCGACACGATTAACTACGTAGAGATAGGATTAGAAGGATTGGGAGCTATAGCGGGGCTGTTAGTATTCCCGCTATCTTGGGTGTTATTTCATCCCCCGTTGGATTGGTGTTAGAAGGAACGTTTTTTTGGCGCGTTTGGGTGTAGATTTTCTGCTTAGAATCGCGTCTAAGCGATTATCCGCCAAGCTGAAAAAGCACGACCAGATTAAAATATTAGCGGACTCCAAACTTAACACGATTGAAGAATATGTGTCTCAAGCCATCAACGACGGAGATATATCGCACGAAGAGTTTATATTGATTACGAGAGATTTGCGAGAGAGCTCGCAAAATGTAACGAGCTTAAGCAAAAAATTAGAACAAAGACCAGCACAAAGCTTCAAAAAATTAAAAACGATTCAGACTTTGAAAAAGAAGTTAAAAAACGGGTAGACGAACGGCTGGCGAAAGAAAGCAAATCTCTTATCGAAAAACGTACAAGTTCGAATTCTCGGTAAATAAACATTATGAAAGCGATCCACCGAGTTACACCTCTATACCACCTCTTAGGGCGTCACCCTCGGCCCCGCCTTTATTGTAGTGGTCATTGTATTTTTTTAGTGCTTTACTAAATTGATTTTGAGTCACTTTAAATAAATCTATAACTCGTTCTTTGTCTAATCGAACTACATGATGAAAACACATGTCATAAGAAAATCAAGAGTTCTCCTCAGTTCAATATAAATATGACATCATTCTATATGAATAAAATTTGCTTGGCAAAAGAAAAGAGAACTGATAGTTCTCCTCAGTTATGAATACAATTTGCTTGACAAAAGAAAAGAGAACTGGCAGTTCCCCTCAGTTATGAATACAATTTGCTTGACAAAAGAAAAAAAAAATGAAAGTTCTCCTCAGTTATGAAAAGCTATTGTTTGACAAAAGAAAGGAGAACTGGTAGTTCTCCTCAATTACGAATAACATTTGCTTGACAAAAGAAAAAAAACCTGAAAGTTCTCCTCAGTTATGAATAAAATTTGCTTGATAAAAGAAAAAAGAACTGGCAGCTCCCCTCAGTTCAATAAAAATCAAAAGAAAAGAGAACTGGCAGCTCCCCTCAGTTCAATAAAAATATGACATCATTTTTACTGTATATTGATTATATTATATTTTGTTAAAGTTATATGTTTGTAATGGTAAAGTCAGTCGTTTTCAATAAAGTGACAAACTCAGCAGTGTAAACCTAATAAAACGTTGTTTGTTTATATATTTATAACATTGATAGAGGGCTCACCAGTCGCTGTGAGTCTTTGTAGAGATCTTTAATACGAGAGATATTGGGCCCGATTTATGCCTGATTCCGAGACTGAAATATTGGGAGAGGAGGGATATATTGGGAGGGAAATATATTTGGGGGAGAGGGGGATCTATGGGGAGAGAGACGATATCAGGAATGCGTTCACAGCAATGAGAACCAGGGCAGAAATTTTCGTTGGAAGGAATGGGGGCATGTTTAAGGACAGTGGGGTTAACGGTGACAGTGGTAAACCTTTATATGTTTTAGCAATTGAATAAATGACTTTGATAATGTACGTCCTGGATTTTGTTATTTAAAACATGTTGCAAACCGTCAATTGGTCTTATGGTGCATGTGGAACAAGGCAATTTTGGCATGTCAGTTACATAACTTGGTGCCCAGTCATCCTTGACGGTAAAATAGAGTTTGTGGTGTCAAGAAAAGAAGACATGGTCATGTAACAGATGATGGTTACCATTTTCCTAAATAATTAGTCTTACCCGAGGAATCCACAAAATGAGCTCGGTTTCCTTTTTTTTTTGAACACCCTGTATAATGAGCGCTACATACATTAGGCAAAGCAGGTGCGTGCGCATAACACGGCCCAGAAGCAGATTCCCTAGATAATATTCTGACGGGTTCGTATGTAATATTGCAATATATTGGCTGGTCGTGATAGCGCCCTCTTGCGACGGCGGGTTATTGCGGCGGCGGGTTATCGTGTATCAAACAATAATATACAAATATTGAATGCTTCGAGTGGTGTAGTAAAACTAGCCTCCCGAGGTGATCCATGGACCATTCTTTTTTTCCGAGGCGAAGCCGAGGGGAAATAGAATGGTCCATGGATCACCGAATGAGGCTAGTTTTACTTCAACACGAGATAAAGCATTCAATATTTGTTTTATAACACTTCACCCACAGATTCTGCTTGATTTTAATATTTTAAATTATTTAAATCTAAACACAGTTGAAATAAACTTCAATTTCAATACAAAATTGGTGGAAAATGTATTTCTCTCTTAAAAACTACCCCTTCACGAAATTTTTGAACCCAAGTCTGCGGCGCGCTCTCTTTGGAATAATATGCTCTACGCACAACGCGCACACCAGCATGCATTGCACACAAATACCGCGCAGTGGAAATAGTACTTTGGTTGCATTTTGGCCGTGCACAGAAAGATAGCAAAATTAGAAAGTAACATGTGACTCGCTCTCGGCCAATCAAGACACAGAATCAGTGGGTGAGGTGTTATAACAGCGTCTAGCCCCTCCACTACTTTGACGTTGCAAAGGTAATGACTGGAAAATGCCCTTTTAATGTGACGTCACATGAAATATGATGACGTCATGATGACGTTACTTCAATTTCCA